CTTACAGTCGTGGGACATGCCCAGGCTACTGGAGTCGGTGTTCTTAGATGATGCCACCAATTGGCATGTCGTCCCTGTGTCAAAACACATTTCCAAGATTCTGCATTACTAACATAGTGTACCCATCCTGTGTCACTAAATCCTTCATTGACTAAACACAAAGTCGTCTAACATCCCCAGTTGAAGTTTCACATACCAATGTATTGGAAACCCAAGCTCTTACGAACAGACTAACACCGAAAATTCGACAAAACCCTGATTCCAAACCAATGGTGCACATGGGCTCCAAGGTCCTGGAAAAAGTGGCGTATAGACTTATTATTAGTCACCGGCTACCATGGACTACACCTAACATTGCTCTACTGCCATGTGGATTAAACCTGTAGGTTAAAGGCTCGGGAGTGGTCTCTTGAGAAACCGCCAGCTCCAGCTTGGACACCCGGTCATTATTCTAACCCATACACAAAATTCATTGATTTTTGTAGCGTATAAATATTTATGTGCCCATCCTTACAAACAATCAAGTGTTTAAATTGTGTGGCTTGACAATCAGACAGTCAACTACATCGTACAACTTCGTACGTACGTACGTACATTAGTTCGAGTTGCTACATTAACACAGAAACGCAATCGTCAATTCAAAACCCCATAGTGGTAGATGTAGTGGAGATATTAGAGCTAATGGAGATGATAATGGTCCGAAGAAATTATCCAAGAAATATAATCTAGTAAAATAACTTTAAAGCGAGAAATATTAATATGATGAAAAGCCCAGTGGAGTAGGATTTAAGAGAAGCCAAAGAATGGATGCACCAGAACCATTGCAAATGATTTTAAGCCATGTCATTCAAGCTGCCCTAACCATCTGGTTACTACCATCTCGCGGACCCCAATCAGGCAGTCTACATCTGCAAACATGTCTCAATCCACTTGTCAGTGAGTTCATCGATTTGTGCCACGTTTTGGTCTAGCTCTCACTATCTTTCTTCCAGCCTACTCCTTCACCGCGAAACATAGTTCGACGAGGCAGTCGGCGGTTGAGCATTCTTAACGCATATCCCAACTACCTCAACTGATGAAGTTTCACTGCTTCATCTATTGATCTATCCTTATCTAATACCCGTTTCCTAACAACTACATTACTTCAAGATAAACGAGTAATGCTTCGAAGACACCTATGATCGAAAACCAGTAACCTAAAAATATCTACTGTTACCGGCTACGTTTCACCGCCGTAGAGTAGGACCTAGCGAACTGTTACGCAGTAGACTCGTCCTTTGGCTAACAGACGGATACCTCACCCACGCCATAAGTAACGCAAATTGGCAAAAGCTATTCGAGCCTTTTGTATCCGTACTAAAATTTCGTCAGACACCAGGCGATTAGCACTGATGATAGAACAGAACAGAATCTGGTCACCAGATTGTTCGAAATATATGGCGCAAATAGATCACATTTTCCAGATCAATTACGTCTTCTCACTGTTCTATCAAAAAATACTTGTCTTCCGCACACAATTCTGGAGAATAGTTCTGTCTAGTAAATCAAGCAAATCACTAGTCTATAGACTGGTGAAATTGTTAATACAACTTTCGTAACACTAAGAAATTAGTTCATTTAGTATCAACCAATTTTTCAATGTTCTAAATGGATATCTAAATTTTTATGAACTAAATAGTTTGATTGAAAAATCTTTGTAGTAATCCTAGATAACATCAATACGAAACTCAAAAAAAGAAATAGATTTTCAATTTCCCTAAATGTCCAGTTTGTTGTTCTCTTTGACGTTAACCGGTATATGAGATATCATTGTTTGACATTTCCAACGCAATTCAAGAGAATAACTTAATAATTATATCAATGTCCTATTCTACCATATTATCAACCAAATCAATTTCACATTAATGTCTTATAATGTTTAATTCTAATGATTTGTAGTAAGTAATTATTGACTAACAGATTCTAGATCATGCTGTGCGCAAAAACGTTTCTCTCATTACCTTGTTTATTTATTGTAAATTTTAGTTCCCACAGTGAAGCATCTTCTAAACCTGAAAATCAAATCAAAAGCAAACGATCTCATTCTAACAACGGCAATGCAAATAGTGATAGTGACAGTTCAACTCATGTAAATCACAAACGAAAAAGGCAATAACGGACAACAGCCAAATGATCGATCGGTTGAGGTTCGGTAGCGAGAGGAGTGCCAATCTCTAATATAATCTCGACGCCCCGTGTCGCTTATATTTATATATATATGCATTGTATTTCGTGTGGTAGTTACTTCGCTACCGACCTTTTTTTTATTGTGTCTCAAACAAATCTGTAAACTCCAATCTAAGTGTTAATCAATGTGGGTTTATGGAAACTTCATAAAAACTAGTATATATGGACTGATATTGAGGTGTTCATCGATAGAAAAACGAAATACAAATAACAATAATACAATCAGCTGAAAACATTCACAGGCTGTAGTTTTATTAAATCTTGGCTGTATATAGATCTGTTAGGTTAAGCTTCATAGTCACCAACAAATTATCTCAATACTAAGTTGGAGAAATTCAATTTCAACACTAACACATGAAAAGCTTAGTTTCGGTATAACATCTACGGTAATCTTCCTGTGTTCATCATCCTTGTGATAAATAGGATTCGTAAACTGCTGAATACTCAAATGTTTATTTTCTTTGACAAGAATATAGTAGAGCTGTAACTTAATATTAGTCTGAACGACAGACCTTCAATGGGTCACATATTCAAACCATCCTTAATCTACTTTGGTCTATATAACTCTAACTATAGTTATCTGTGGACGTCTAAGTGATGAAGTTCATCCATTTGAATCTTTGCGTCAAATCAATTGCAATCCAAGTTTTCTTTAGTATATATACTGTGGCAATTTTTATCCCATGAATTAACATTAAAATTGACAGTTTATTCTACTCAACGTCATTTAAATGGTATCCAACAATGCTTGTATCTGTCACACACTGGCTACTACAATTGTCAGAAGTGAGAAATCACTCACTAATTACTATGTGGACGATTACTTGCCATTCATTCTCGACTAATTATTTGTTATTTTATAAGTAACTCATTCATACTATTTTAATTGGATATTTTACACAAATAGTTTTATTTGCCTAGTCCATTACTAGTTAGTTGATCAGTAATTCTATCTCATAACTTGATCAACTTGAAAATCAAAACTAGTCTTGTTTTATATTAGTGTGTAAACTAGTCATTTTTCTTGTTAAATCATTCAGGTTTTCATAAAAATTGCCATTTCTGTTTTTTCCATTGTTTACATTCATTTCATATTTACTGCGCAATCGTTAAAATAAATCCATTTCAGATTGAAACAATTTTTGTCGGAAATCATTTTTAAGAAAAGTCTAGAGAAAATGTAGTCTGGATTGTGTATTAGAGAACGGATAGGAAGTAGTAGTTCATTAGGTAAAACTAAAAAAATGATTCAAGAGAGTAATTTCTATGCTATTTATTT